TATAAAATTAAATATACGAGTACTAATTTTAAAATAACACGAAAATATATATCGAATTAATATTAATATAGAATATATTTAGTTTATTTTTAAATTTAAAAATTTAAAATATTTCTGAAGAATAAAATTTTATGAAAAAAAAAACAAATTACGATATGCAATTTTGTTATTTAGCACATTGTGTTAATGATAATTGAAAACTTGAATTAAAAATACATTATTATTAAAATTAAAAATACATTAAGCAATGCTTTTTGTGCCCTGTTACAAATATATTTAAGTTATATATATTATTATATATAATATACATATACAGAAATTATTATATATAATATAGATATAGAGAAATTATTATATATAATATAGATATAGAGAAATTATTAGATATAGAGAAATTATTAGATATAGAGTAATGATTAGATATGTAGTGATTTATAAAGATATTTAGAAATTGGTAGGTGATTTATTATTTATAAAAGGTGATATGACATTGTAATAGTTTAGATGTACCAAAATTTTTTTTTATACAAAAGGCAACTATTTTATATATTATATTACATTTGCATAATAAATATGAGATTATATAAGTATCACACACTTACCTTCTATGTAACAAATATTTTACTATCCCATACATAAAGATTACTTACGTATTGAGAATGAAGGTCATGTTTATAAAAATAAAAAATCCCATAACACATACGTAGCTAGTGTAGCAAATTACACAAGTACAAAATCTATAAAATGATAAAGTAATAAGGGTTTTCAATTGTACTTTAATTACATAATAATCTTATATTATTATTATATTATATTATATTTAAAATTGGCAAAATTATACACAAACTCTACGTTTTCTATTTTAGAATATAATTTATTACAAAATTTTACAATTGTTTTTAAATTTGATTATAAAATATTTGATGTACATAATAAAACTGCAAATACTGCTTTAAACGGTTTTTTTATACTCTATTATATATATATATATATATATATATAAATTTTATTAACTAAAATATTCCTACTGAAATTCAAACTTCTTGATTGTTTTTTATATATCTTTATGAGTGCTTTGCTCAAGTATATACGCTCAAGTAAAATGAAAGTGAAAATATATGTTAGTAAATGCCAAAATGCCAAATTTTTCATATAAATTGTGTTACTAACAAAACTATGCATCAATATTTGGCATCGAATCTAAATAGATAATATATATATATATATATATATATATATATATATATTATCTATAATAATTTTCTTTATAAAATATATAAGTAATTTATTACCTGTTGTTAAAAGATAGTTGAGCGTCCCTGTTTACAGTTTTGTTTTATATAAACAGCGCGGACAAGTTCATTTAATCATTAGGTGAAGTTCTTCAAATATTACTATAATCGTTCTCAGTGCTCACTAATAAATTGCTGATAAAGTTAAAAATGAGCAATTTGAGACACGCAATTTCATTGTGTTTACTATTTATCATCGTAGGATTGGGATTAGCTCAGCCTCCACAACTATTTACGCCTAGAGGTAAGATCATCATTATATTTTATTGAATTGTACGTGAATTTTAAGATCTAGAAGATAAGTTTTACCAAAAGTATTAAACATTTTTAAAAAAATAACTACATTTTTAAATGATTTCGAACTTCAAATTTATTTTAAGTGTTTTTAGAGCTTTTTCAGTGTTTTTAACTTATATTATTTCTTTATTTGTAGCATTTCTTTGTAATAATTTTTGCAAAAATAAAATTTGGTAATTAGAATAATAAATAAAGGTCGATGGTCCGAATAAAATCAAGTCCAATCTTTGACGGTTATTTTAGTACGTGATTACACAAGCATTAATCAGTTAATCAAAAAGTAATTTAATTAATTTGATAACATCTAATTTTATAATATTAGTTTACATTGAAATGTTAGTTTTTTTTATGAATAATTATCACAGTCAATAAATTGATATAGATTGTCCAGAAAACGAAACATATCTTTCGTGTGGACCAGCTTGTCAAACAGAATGTGCCACTCTGGGACAACCTTGTTACATTGCTTATTTTCGATGCCCTGATGGATGTTATTGCAACTAGCTGTAAGTGGAATTCTGTCTTAAGGCAATTAGGGCATCGTGCCTTAAGGCAAATTGCTGGAACTTCCCGTACCAAAAATTATTATTTTTTTTTTAAAACGATTAACATTTTTGAAAAAAAATTACTTTGAAAAAATAAGATTTTTGAGAAACTATAAATTGGACAAAAAATTAGTTTTATTTTGAAAAAAAAATTTTTTTTTTTAAAAATTTTTTTTTTAAAAAAATTTGTTTTTTTTGAAAAAAATTTTTTTTTCTTTATTTTGACATATTGTGGAAGATCTGAACTTTTTTTTCAAAGCAATCGTACTGCTTTAACTACATAGGGACAAATATAAAGCGCGTAAGCGCCGCGTCGCTGTCTAACGCATAAGCATTGGTACGGAACCGATAGGAATGTTAACAAAATGTATACTTATTGTTAAAATCTCTATAAAATGTCTGATAATTTGATGTGCATATGTCTAATGATCATTTTTGACCGCCAAATGGCTCATTTTTTTACTTTTTCCTCTATATCTCCGAAACCGCTAGACCTACCTTCATGAAAGTTGTATCGATTCTTCATCTTGTCAATACAAATAAAATGTTTTTTGAATTATTAAAATCGGACGCTCCGTTCTCTTAAAAACTGAGTTACCGTTTTCGGAACTTTTTGCCCCGTATCTTCGGAACGGCTTGACCTGCCTTTGCCAAAAACTAATCAGCACGTCTCCTTATCAATACGGATCGAATGTTTTTTGAATTATTCAAATCGGTTGATCCGTGTTCCCGAAATCGTCGACGAAAATTTGTATCCGCACATACATACACACACATACATACATACATACATACACACACACATACACACACACACACACACACACACACACATACATCCATTTTTTCTAAGGTATGCCAAAATGTTCAGAAACCTCTGAAACGTAAAGATATATAAAAATTTTCATTTTCGATTTTTTTGCGATTACTATAACTTGCCCTACGGGAAGTTAATAAAGGCTTTGCTAGAAATGCTAAAGGTGCATGTATTCCGATTGAACAATGTTAATAATTACTCTATTATTAATGATTAACATATGTAAATGTACCTAATTATTAAAAATGTTAAACATATGAATTCTATACTTTTAAATTTCGATACTGGCTTTCATTAATCCTGGTAAAAATGAATCTTCTCAAGACTCTGTATCAATTCTTAAATATTTCGCTATTATTAACTTATTGTTGCATCTTATTAGCTAAATATCGGGTTTACAATGCCAGTTAAGCTAAAATTAAGGTTACAGCTGTAACCTGAAATGTGATTATAATGTTATTAATATATGTATACTTATAATTAAGTATTAATTTATACTATATTTCAATTGCATATTGATAAAAAGCATTTTTTATGTTGAACGACTCTAGGTATTCTGATTACTTAGTACACTAACGCATGTCTTTTTTATGAATATTACAATTTTTTTAAAATTTATTGGCCTCGCTTACTTAGAGCATTTAGCCATCTACTATACTTTCTATATATTGCATACTTTCTATGCAATCTCAAATCAAAAATACAAATTCTAATTAATTTTAACTCATCATTTCAAATTCAAACTCAAGACTATTTACTTCTTTTAAATACTTTTTCTATTAACTCTTTTTAAATTATCTTTCGCAATTTTACTAATTCTTCTTCCTTCTGAATTTTTCCATCTTCTTCTTGCTTCTGCTAATTACGTCTTTTCTTCTAACTACAAATTAAAATCCTAGTAAATTTGATAATTTTCTTCAATATTGTGTAAACATGCAAATTCCGCGAAGATATATGAATAACAACTGTTAAAGAGAAATTTGTATTATTAATAATAAGAAATAATAACTATAAAATCATATGTATTTTATTTATACAATAATTTAGCTAGTTTTGCTATACATAATTAATACATGACAGTAAATTTGAAGTAATTTTGTTTTACATATTGTTGATTACTTGATTTCTTTGAATGGCGATAAGTCCAAAGTTGTGGCTGCAGGTTTTTCACTAACAGGAAGAGAAATTATTATAATTGATTATTTTATGATAGTTTCAGAAAATTTGCTATTGAGTAATAAATGAACCTAAAATTGATTTATAAAAAAACTCTAAAAACTCAAAAAATAGTATGAACTGTTTTAGTCTCAAAGAGAAGTCGATCGACACGTTTCTATCTAAATTCTCTTTTTTTTGCTTTCATCAAGTAAGTTGATAAAAACCAACATTGATCAGAAAAATCACGAATCAAATACTCTAACAACAAACTTTGCAATTGTTATTCAAAATTCTAAATTGAAGCGACTTCTTTCATTGAAGATAATATGCCACACATTTTTTCGAATTAAAATTATAATATTTTTGCTTATTTCGAGTGAAGGTGTAGGCACAAACACGTAAGAATTATGTTTTCGATTTTAATTAATTCAAACTAATTCCGTTTCTTTTATCAAAATTTAATTTGTTAATTTGTTATTTGGTATTTTGCATCATTAACTGTATAAAATGTAGTTCGTAATATTTGTAACTAGCAAAAAATAAATGGATACCATGCTAAGTTCTTAGTATCTATTAATTCTTCATATGTATTATATATGTTAATATAGTGTTTACTTGTGCATATTTATATTTATATCATGGCATTGAGATTTTCAATTATATTTAAAACTAATTGAGTTCATAGCATGTGTATGTGTGTTATGTACATGTATACTTTTTTGGTTACTCACAACAAGTTATCATAATAATAATATTGAACTGAAAAGTAATAAAAATATATTTGTGATATGTATACAGTGTAATTACAATGTAATATTGGTTTGTATTTGGTGTATTCACAATGTATATATTTATATAATGTTTTGTATATTATGTGTTACAGTATTGTATTGAGATTCATTGAATGACTTTGTTTCATTCTTGTGTGATTGTTTTAGTGCTCAGGTATGTTCAGTTGGTGTAATAATAAGCGCACCTAGGACAATTTCCGAGAGGTACGCAAACACAATTGTAATCACGTGCATATCCATCGTTACAGTAAAGACGGTTAACAGGGGCAAAAGTCTTGATGGGGCAGTTTTCCTTTAATCCTTCCAGGCCGCATTCCCGATCGCAATAAGTTCCATTAGCACGAACCTGGTTACCCCCTGGGTAGTTGTATCCTGAAGAGATAAAGATAGAAAAAATAATCATAATTTTTGTTGACCGGGTATTGGTATGTTTATATTTTACACCCAAAAAATTGGCAAGCGAGAGAAACAGCTTGTGTTATACTGACTGGAAAATGCACTGTATAGTCTTTATATTACAACTTTATTTGGATTTGGTCAGTGACATAAATAACACGAGTTGCAACAAAGTGCTAAGTTTCTTTGAAGTCGGAAGCTTTGAACTATTAGCTTCCCGAAGTTGTAAAGTGAATGTTTTGTTTAATCGTTTCCAAAAACTATTTTCGCAACAAATACATGTAATGGGGCTAGAGCGAGTGGACCTGAATCAGAGGTCCCGCTTCGAGCCTGATATCAAGCAGTAGTGACATCGGTTTTCACTTGGAAGTATAGAGATCAATATGTTTCTAAGTAAAACTACCCTTCCTTCGACATTGCTGCATCAATAAAATATTTGCTCTATTAGAGAAATTGTAATAATGAAAATTTGGCAAATTATTATTATTTTTTTAAGAGGAAAATTGCTTTACTAAAATTTTTGTAAATAATCATTTACGAGAACGATCAAATTAAGCAATTATAACAAACTAAAATATGCAAATAACTTTTTTTAATAATTGAAATTGATATTGTACAAAATGCTCATTATTAACTTAATAATTACGATTATTTCTATTAAAAATTATACCCAAAAAAGAATAAGTAAAATTAATCGTGACGCATTATCTAAAAAATTATGTTGATACTTATTATGTAAATTTTATTACATGTGTTTGCGCTATTACACATACTCATAACATATTACTCGTACTTGATTTTTAAAATTTGTATTGATTTTGAAAATTTGTTTATGCCCATTACATTTTACGACAATATTTTTTAAAACCATCCTATTTTATCGACCTTGTTGTGTTACTCATCCCCTATCTACTGGATTAGCGAATGGTTAGTAATGGCTGGCGTTGAAAATCGAAAAGTCATGTTAAGATTTGCAAAATCTAATTATGACAAAAATATAATCTCACATCATTATCTATTACATGTGTCTTGCTCACCTGGTGGGCACCTGATATCATTGGAATTGAATGCAGCCAAAACGCCGCTTAGACAAACCACTGTAACAAGTACTATACACTTCATATTGAGCTGGTCAGAGAACTTCGTTCAACAAATATTTTGTCAGTGAAATTGTAATCCTCCCAAACAATTCTTTTATACCCGACCTACCTGTACAGATCTTTTATCTTATTTATCAATACAGCACGATTCGCTTATTATGATCGATTTACGTCAAAATACAAATACATCTGCCTTGGAATGTAAAATTAGCACGGCACACCGAATTATGTTGTTTATTTTACAAACGAAATTACGGACATGTTCATAATCAGCACAGAGTATTTTACAAGTAATCTGTTGTCGAGGCGTGATTATGTGACAAATTATGGATATTGAAGTCAAAAGAAAAGCCATTGTAAATTTCCACAATGGAATAATACAAAAAAATCGAAATAGAAAACTCGGTATTTGCTTTTTGTTACATATTGTTACATATAATTTGGTAGCGAGTTTTAACAACAAACATTACAATTTTTATGTTTGTTTTAATTGAATTTTCAAATAATAATTCTGTGCCAGGAAGTTCATAAGTTACATTAAAGCAAGTTCACAACTTTGCATTGAGGAAATATGCCACTTACGCCTAGTTTATATCTAAGTAGTAAAGAACAATCAAACTTATTTTCTATTCACAATTATTTATATTACCACATTTAAAAACGTATGAATTAGTAATTTTTCAATTAATTTGTCTTAAGTTGTTAAATTCACATGGCATTTTTATGGCTTCAGAATAAAAGTCATTTTTCAAATGGTTAATTATCTCAAATTAACTGCTTTGTAATTTTCTCATTTGACAATTATTTAAAATACTCTACTTCTGCAAGTCGCACTTTTCAAAAAAGCCATTTATGTTCATTTATCTCCCGCCAAGCCTGACATCAGGCAACTTTGATGTCAAATTTCCACTTGAGGTTATAGATCTCAAATATAGCCTCAAGTGAAAATCGCCTCTCGCAGGTATAGTTTCATATATAATAAAAAATGTCAGCAAATACTTCGAGTATAGATATTTAGTCATAACTGGACTGGAACTACTGGGTTGCCATCCATTCAAGATTCATATAATAAGAAAAGTCAAAACAATTTCTGAATGTCGTAAGTGTGACAGATTGTAATTAAAATAAAAATAAAAAAAATGTTTATTTATGATTTGAAAGTAAAATAGTATCGTTATAGTGACATTATTGCCAAATTTGACATTCTACATTCTATAGAACATATTGGAGCTATGTCAATGACTAAAATTTTAGGATATTTTTAATTTTTTTATTTTTTTGCCAATTTGAAACTAATTTTTATAACATTCAAGTTAAAATTGGTTTGTAACGGTTGATATTTTTATTTAAGTATTATAACACTATTCATATTTTTTATAATAAGAATCTGATGTTTTGGCATAACTTACCTTGAATCAGAATATTTGCATTATTTTTCTTTTTTTATTATTATTATTTTTGAACAGCAATCAGAACCTAATATAAGCTGGCTTTGAGAGATGGCAAAAAGTTGTCACATCTCTGTATGATATTCTATTATTACATATTTCTTGATGCAGCAATGCAGGGTGAGCGCTTTTTCACTTGGAAACATATTGCTATCTATATTTCCAAGTGAAAATTGTTGTCACTGCTGCCTTCCAACAGGCTGCTCGGAGTGGGTATCGAACCCGGGACCTCTTATTCAGGTCTCGTCGCTCTTAACCGGATACCTACGGGCGAGCCCATTTGCATTAACTAACGGATTTATTGTTCTTTATTCAAACACCATGTATATGAATATGATACAAATTCTATATATCAGTTAGACTAATGTGGCTAGACTCATAAGGCAATTCTCCGGTGATCGCATCGTTTTAAAAACTGTCAAAATCTATGTTTTTGCTGTGCAGTCAGGCGTTGACAAATTTAGTCAACAATATAACTAATACAAATAATTTATTTGCATAGGAAATAAGGTCTAATTAAAATAAAAATCATAAACAAATATTATATATTTTGGAATTTCATTAACAGGAATTGCAATATTCTTTTGGGACACATTTACAACGGTTATCTCTTGCATATCCTTCATCACAATAACATCTATCCACACATTTGATATTTATAATTGGACAGGTTTGGTTAAGTCTTCCGCATTCTTCATCACAATGACTTCCACAAGCGTAGTGTTCATTTCCTCCGTTGCATACCCCTTAAAGAAAATATTTGCTTTCATATTTTTGTTCATATTTGATTAATATTTTTATTGCATCAGTTTGAAATGCATATGCAGATTGGTAAATTTATTAACATTTCGTGAGCAATATAATTAAATACTTACATGGGCCACTTGTTGGAGGGCATCTGATTTGGCAATTAACTACAGCTAATACAATTAATAAGATGAAAATTATCTTCATTTTGGAAAGCTTAGGAAATATATTATTATGAATGCAACTGATCGTTAACAAACTGCAAATGAAATTACTGTATTTTTTATCTTATATATAAATGTTACCGTGTGCTTACACACGTGTTTTAAAATATAAACAATACACTTCAATGAGTTTAAAAAATTTCTTTATATTATTGAATCAGATGTATTTATCGTCGGCTTCCGATTTGTTTGTCAGTAACCATTTTTCTTTGTAGAAGTAGATAAAACTATAAAAATAGTTATCCTACTTTTTGTTTGTATATTTTCTGAATATTTCTGATATTTTATTTATTTCTGAAGCGTTTAATTGTAATATCCGAAATAGGAATTTTTTATATTACCTTTTTTGTAATACAATAATTATTGTGCGTCATAAATAATGAGCATAGTCTCAGATCTGGTTTTTATTTTTACACTTAATGAAATTGATTACCATATGAAGATGTTTTTTTATTTCTGTGAGAAATTCAATTTTAATCCAACAGCTGCTCGAATATATGCTAAATCGATGATCGAATAGTTTTGCGTTGTAATTGATATGTGATTTTATTTTTTAATTATTATTGCCCCAATATGTTGTCGACACAACATTTTTTAGCTTTTCATTATTTTGAAGAAAAAAGTGGGTGGGTCCAGTTAAAACATTTTGTGTAAAATATGTAGCATAGAATAAATTTGGCACAATAATAAAAATAAAATTTATTATTATTGATATGAACGTATTCATGAATGAAATACATAAAATATATAACAAGGCGTGATACTAATATATGTTTAGTGAGCAGGATATACTTATGAATAAGAATATTCTCAATAAAGAGTTAATTGAAAGAAACAAATTGTGAAAAACATTATTTAATAAATAATTATTGAGAAAATAAGTACAAATCAGTTAAAATACAATAAATAATAGATTGTCACAATAAATAATTATAAATTTTACAACTGGTATTTATTGATTGTAATTTTTAACAATCGTCGCACTTATCGAAAGGAACACAATTGCAAAACTCATCTCTTGCATATCCAGGATCGCAGTAGCAACGATCTGTGCATTTAATATTCACAATTGGGCAGTCTTCACCAATTTTTCCGCATTCTACATCGCAAAAACTCCCACATCCGTGCCATTCATGTCCTCCATTGCACAACCCTGTTAATAAAAGAAATATGGATTGCTTATTAGACTCTATTTTATATGACTCTATTTTTATGATTTCCAAACTTATTTATATACAAATGAATCCATGTAAAATGTATTGTTATTATATAATTTATTAATTAAACTATATTCAATATATTAGCGTTCAAATTTAACTATTGAACTATACTAGCAGCAAAAAACTTTTTTGGTCATTATTTACTTACATGGAGGTGGTGTTGGCGGACATCTGATATCATTTCCTCCATATACGACCGCTATGCACAAAACTAAACAAATAATTGTAATCTTCATAATTGATTATTAGAAAATCTAATGTATGCTTGCATTGATGAGTATACAATGTACTTTCACATTTTCTTTTAATTCCTTATATATGTTCTGATTAGCTTATTTTCACAATAGATAGACGTTTTGCAAACACTCAAACAGTTAAATACACATAAATGTCGAGACAAATAGTCCATTTATTTGTATACTAAATAAATTAAATATGATTTTATTTTTAGTTCACATTTTATACGCAGTTAATATTGTTTATAAGGGGTATATAATTCGCATATTATTTTCATGTTTAATTAGAATATAAAAATACACATTTGATTGAAATTGTTAACAGGTAATTTGATATAGTAATTATAGTAATTAATAATAAAATTCTGAACTGAAATATTAATATTGAACATGCCAGTAATAATAAAATTATTATATTTATAAATTCAAATTAATAACACTATCTAACTTTCTGATTTTTTAAAACTTTTTTTTGCTTTATGCAATATTTTTAATGAGCCATACAGTTTTGTGGTATTTTATAATTATAAAGTACAAACTATATAAGAGGTGATCAGAGTGTGATGATCAAAAAATTAAATTAAGATTATTGAGACAGGTGGAAAGCTAAATTATAAATAATAAATTAGAATAATTTTTAATGTGTAGTTGAAATAAAATATTATAAATCATTTTAAAACATTGTTTATCCTATTTACGGTAGCATTTATTTGTAAATCAATAATTCAAATAAGAATATTCAATATCAAAGGCATCGCAAGCATATATAAACATTTGAAAAACCGTCAAGTGTTTCATAATTTAAATTATAATATAATTGATAAGCACCACTCGTTCTAAAACCGTATTCATCGAGACTTTTGCTGAATTTTGAAAATTGCATTACTAAATGATAATGTTTTACCAGATAGTTATGAGAACATTAGTAAGCGTATTGTTTATTCAATTTTTATTAAGATAACAAATAACAATTCTGTGTAGATTATTAACAAGTTTATAAAATTTTATATTATTTACGAGCTTTCGGTAAAAATGCCATCAGGGAATCCTGCTGGTGGAGTAGTTTCGGCTTGTTCGACTGGTACGGTATTACCGTTTGCGGTAGCTTCACCACCTTGAGCGGGAGCCGCAGTGGTTTCAGCAGCAGAAGCTGCAGTGGTTTCTGCAGCGGAAGCACTGGTTGTCGTAGGTTCAGCACCTTTAATTGATATGTTGTTAATACTCGTTAAATAGCTGATGAGACAGCTCGTGAATAATTAATTAAGTTAAAGTATATCAATTGTTTCAAATTAAAATATTATTATCATTTTATAATTTTATGGCTTACCACATTGATCTTCGGGAATGCACTCATTATTTTCATTTCTGGCGTAGTTGCGTTTGCAGAAGCATTTGCAGTTGTTACCAATATCGATGCAAATATTATGCAAATTGTCACAGCGTTTGTCACAGCCTAACTTGCAGGCGAAACGTTCATTCTCACCACAATCGGCTGTAAGTAGTTTAAATTTTATAACTGGAGTCGATTTACAATTTCAAAATTAATAAAAAAACTGATGTCATTATTTGGACGTGTCATTATTCGTTTTATTATATTGGTCATGAAGGTGACAACCTTCAGGGCATTAAGCTTTACACGGAATTGTTGCTACCCCTGGTAGAGGGGGTAGCGGAGTGTTTTAATAAAGTCCGCGAAACAACATGTATAATAAATATATCTTTTTTCTTATAACTTAGTAACAAATCAGTGATTGTAATTAGAACTGCAACAAATACATAATATACAAACAAATCAGTATTTAACAGTCCACAGCTACAAGGGTTAAATTATAACCCAACAACCTGAATAATCGAAGAAGAGTTTTAATAAATTCTATAACTACGTAACAAAACGACAATCATATTCTACTGACTTATGACTCTTTCATAAGATGGAATTTCAGAATATATTGTACTAAAAAACTAATATAAATATCATAGAGTGAATATTTATATCTCACCCGCAAAAGCAACAGCTACTAAGGCTACCAAAACGACAACTGTCAAGCAACGCATTTTGAATTATGTTAACTATACAAAAAAATATATGTAATAAAATAACACAAACTGAACTGTGAAATCCGTAAAAAATATGAGTTTATATACCTTCTTAGATATTTTCCAGAAAATATTCTAATCTTCTTCAAATATGTACCTGAATTATGATTATAAGGCTTTTATGATCAAATTATAATTTATTATCAGTTAGAGCTTCTTATTTTGCTTTCAAACGTTATAATTATATTAATTTATTATTTGCATAATTATTATTTTGCAAACATACTTAATAAAACAATATTAAATCAAATCCATTTTTGAGAACTCGTACGTAATTAAATATTTAGTTTTGTTGATAAAAAGCTGTTAATTTTCAATTTGATTATAAAAGATAAGACTTAATTAATTTAAAATCTTAAAGCAACTTTAGTAGAATCATCTGTCATTATATTAGACAAATACTGCAAAAACATGTTTGATATGTTTATATCACTTCAAATTTATTTCAATTTTATTTTTCTATCAAAATATATTGTAGTTGTTCATTAAAAATTTATTTTCCAGTAAGGCTAGTAAAAAAAGTAAAGGCTAAATTGAAGTGCAAGTGCATTTATACTTATTTTTTTACGTAAATATGGTTTACTTTCCATACATTCAAATTATAATTCTTCTTGAACCTGAAACACAGCGTTTCAGGTTCAATATCCATCTCGGTCAACAAGATATCAAGCAGTAGTGACATCGGTTTTTGCATGAAAATATAGTTTGTAAGCGAAAATATCCCTTGTTCGGCATCAAATTAAAAAAATAGTATTAAAGAAATTCTAACTAGTGGTGTATGGCATCGTGCCTTAAGGCAAATTGCTGGAACTTCTTGTACCGTAACGAAATGATCGAGGAATATTAAATGTTTTCAAATAGGTTTTCATAAATATTGTAACATTAATATTTATAAGAAATATATAAACTGAATTGTAAAGTTAAAATTATTTGTTTAAAGTTTATTAAAAAAGAATTAAAATTAAAATCTGAATTATTTTCGATTTACAAAAAAAAAATTCTTGAAAAAAAAATTTTGAAAAAAAATTAAAAACAATTTTTTTTTTTCCAACAGCAATTATTTTGTTAAAACAAGCAGAAAGTTCTTTGAATAATTCAAATCGGACTCTTAGTTCTCTCAAAAACTGACATTTTTTGCACATTTAGCTCTGTATCTTCGAAACAGCTAGACCTGCCTTTGCTAATTACCTCTTCTCCCAATCAGTACAAATTGAATGTTTTTTAGAATGTTCAAATCGGATACTACGTTCTCTCAAGAACTCGATTTCTATTTTCTGCACTCTTTGCTCCGTATCTCCGTAACAGCTGGACCTGCCTTTGCCAACAACTAATCAGCACATTTCCCTGTCAATAGGAATCGAATGTTTTTTGAACCATTCAAATCGGTTGATCCGTGCGCCCAAAAACGTGGACGAAAAAATGTTTACATACAAAACACACACACACATCCATTTTTTCTTAGGTACGCCAAAAAATTCAGAAACCTTTAAAACGTCGGAAAATGCAAAAAAAATTATTTTCAATTTTCGGCATATTACTATAACTACTCTACGGGATAGTAAGTGGTTAAGTGGTTAAAAATAAAAATATGTCAAATATAGATAAGTCAAGCGTTGAGTTTTCTTCTAAAAAAGCAAAGTTGTTGGGGAGAAGGTTTATCACGTTAGCTTATGAAAGATATATTTATATATTGCATATTAAAAGGTTGAAAAATGATTTTAAATACAAGACCTGTATGTAAACTTTTATTATCCAAATATTCGAATGATCACAATTCAATTTTATCCAATGTTCTTGTATACGTAACTGAATACGTCTAATTATTATTATAAACAATAACACATCTCAAAATAGTGAAAGATTTTATTCAAATACAAAAAATAAATACAAAACCTAACAATAAATAAATAATATATTTATTATTATTATTTGGCAAAATTAAAATAATATGTACAACTACAAACTAATTCTTTGAACTGCAAATGCTTCTACTTTTTCAAATTAACTACTTTCAAAACAATTTTTCTTTCCCATTTATCTGCCCATACCAAAAATGCATTTTAGTAAGTGCACACATTGACCGTTAGCGTTTCTTACAAAACCAAATCTGCAGTAACATTGGCATTTGTTGACGCCGTTAAAACAGAAAGAACCGAAAGAGTCACAACGACCGTCGCAGGTCATGCGGCAGCCGTACTCTTCGTTCATTCCGGTGCAAAGAGGTTGATCGGGCATCTGCTGCTGAGGCAGCTGGGGTTGCTGTTGCTGAGGTAGCTGCTGCTGAGGTAGCTGCTGCTGAGGAAGCTGTTGCTGCTGCTGCTGAGGAAGCTGTTGCTGCGGTAATTGAGGTTGCAACTGTTGTTGAGGCAATTGGGGTTGCAACTGTTGCTGCGGAATTTGAGGCTGAAGTTGCTGTTGAGGTAACTGAGGCTGAAGTTGTTGTTGCGGTAATTGTGGTTGGAGTTCTGAAATAACAAGCGTCTTAAATATGATTGTTCACAATCTTATCAAAAATATTTTAACACATCGTATTGTTTTCAATTTTCAATTACATTTATAATAAACATTATGAACATATTTACATCAACTAAAGATTATATCAACTTAATTGTACCGCACACGTAACTCAAAGCATAAATACTATCATGAAATGGTAGAAGTGCAAATATGTTTTTAAATATTAGTCAATAAAAATGTTATTGCTGGATGCATGTAAGTAAATTAGTCAGTAATCGTATTTTCATTCGTAAACTTTTACAATGTAAAGTTGATTTTTTTTTTCAATAAAAAGATCTTGCCATCACTTTATTGTTACTATGTATGTGTTCAATACGTCAAAAAATCTTAAATTTAGATATCAGCTTCAATAACAAACCAATCATAGTCATATCTTCGATATGACTCTATCATGTTATTGGTAAATACTAAATATAAATATGTAGAGGTCAATTCTTCGATAAAATATACCGTAACATAGCGTTGTTATGTCAAAGCTATTTTACGGTTCTTTCTTCATATAAATTGAGAGCAAAAACCGTCAAAATGCTATGTATTTTATCAAAATTTCAAAAACACCAAGTCAAATAGCATGTACAACTGCATTTTGTTGCCGAGTTTTTAAAATATGTTATAATATATTCATATATTTTTATAGCATAGAGCTTTATTGATTATTAGAATCCCAAGTGGTTCATTTTGACTGTTTATTTACTCCTATTTCAAAGCAGTTTAGTTCCTTAAAGCAAGTATTTTCACATTTTTTCAATTTATAAACTTTTAATTAATGCTATAAGTATAACCATCATATATTTGTATATATTGTTTTTAGATACAGTATTTTTGTAAAATATTTATTTCAAAAATTTCAATTTAAAACGATTCAAAACGTACGTGCAAATATAGCCCCCACAAAACACACAAAAATAATTATTTGAAGATGCATATTCCTGCTTTGTTACACCGAACTTTTAAAAGATTATGTAATGACTAAAAAAATTATTGCATTGCGAGTATTTATATATGAGGCATGGGAACATAATTAAAAATGCAAATTTGTGAATGAGGCGTATGTTTTCCTCGTACTTTCGGAAGCTCATCACGTTTTAAAAGCAATTGTTCAAATATCGCGGCTCGATATGTATCATTTCATTTGTAAATAGTACGCATTCCTTTCAAATTTATATTGTATACCAAAATTAAATATGCTTAACTCACTCACAAAATTCTGTTTCGTTTTAAATTATCTGAGAAGCGTAATAAAAGCGGGTACTTACCTGATGTGATTACGAAATTTTTATTTAATTATACGCATTAATAATTGTATATTTACATATGAATGATAATACTTTTTGGTTAATTATATGGTATTTATCAAAATTGATGTATTGTATTGTTTGTCTATAGTTTTGGGCATTTAGAGTATAAGACAAGAAATAAAATATGCAATAACTATTCCACAAAATATTCTATATTTTGAAAATTATTTGGAAAATTGGACAATTTTTTTAGAATGTTTTGTAAACTACATATTGGACAAATTTTAAAATTGCAGGACTTTAGAAATTGTTATTTTAAAATACCATATTACACTTCCGAATATAATACATATTTTTATTAATATTATTCATAAATAAATTTAGTTCAATGAAAATGTAGAGCACATGTTTAAATGTTGATTTTGTACTCTGCGTACATATAATGAATCAACGTTTGATTTAATCTATATTAACATATAAAACGCCTATATATTTTATTTTTCCCATAAACACAAATATTTTTAATGACATTTTAATACTCTACAATAAAATATAAAATATTGTAAAACGAGTTTGCTATAATAATTAATCATCACATATACAAAACATAAATCAACTACTTGTAACTAAAATGCTAATTAAATAGTTGGGTTTTCATTCCATGGTGCTTATACATATTTCGTGATGACGTGGGTTTGTAATATTAGGCAAAATTTAATTCTGAAGTGTTTGAATTATATTAAAAGAATATAATGAATATATAATAAAAAATATATTAAAATACGTTTAACATATAGTCGTCAATATAATATGCTAGAATTTAAATATATAGCAATGACAGTGTGACAGACTAAATTAATTCTGAACTTTTTTCAAAATTTTGTCTTTTTCTTTAATCCAGAATATTTTATTTGCTAAGTCCATCCATTCAAGAATAACGATTAGAACGATACAATTTTCCGTGAAGATTACATATATGAATTTTAAAATGACTTCACAAAATTTACTCGTTTTTATTGTAAATTTTACATTACATAATATTTTCATATTGACAGCTTATTATTATTTGATGATATCAGTTCTTCGAATCAATATTCACATATGTTTCAAATATTAGTAATTAGTCATGTATCAAATTAAATACTTATATCTGATAAAATCATTAATTAGTTGGCAATTATTAAACGTCATATTGTACGCGGATATATTATCAGCAAATTGTTTATTACGTTTTTGCATATTCATTTATTTATGAATCTTATAAATAAATAAGTCTTTGAAATTTGGACGATGTAGTTGGTCGTATATATATAGAAAAATATGAATAAAGTAAGTTTTATATTTAAACTAAATATATCGATCTATGATATTTGATTTTTAACAAACTGTATTTATCTATTCAAATTACTAGGCATACTCAACTCAGCGATTTTTATAAATTTTACATTTTACTATTGATTCAAATTATGAACTGATTTTTTCAAAATATTTATGCTTGCAACAATAATAACGAAATAAAATCAAAATATTAATATTAATAAAAATAATATTAATAAAAATAAAATAAAAATCAAATATTTAATCATCAATGTTTACCTAAAAATCATTAAATAAATGAAAATAGCTATTTTTACGAATTTAACTGGAGCAAATACAAATTTAAAGATAAATAATATATATAAGCAATATACAGAGAATTTAAATGTATGAAGTTGGCAGATGTTTAATGAAATTATCGAATTTTTAAATAAAATTCCTTTCATGACAATTTTTTTCAATGTTCTTAATAATTATTATGATGTTTTTTTTATCATTGGATTTTAATTACGGAACTTTAATTTTATAAAGCTTATTTTGAGTAAAATAAAGATTTTATTAACTTTAATAATATAATACATTAAATCTACAGCTTTTACATATCATTAATCAATTTAATTAACTTATTAGATAATTATTATCCGAGTCATAACATTTTTTTGCTAATATTTTATCTCTATAAGCAGATTCGATGATCATAATTCGATGAGTCAATCGCATAAAAATGAAAATAATTTATGTGAATTTTATTCATTTTGTTTTATACATATTTGTAGGTGTTTCATAAAAAAACATAATTATGTTTTGAATTATGCAATTTATTTAGACAGTATAATAAAAATTTTAAAACGTCATAAGAGTCATGTAAATGGTATTTTACAGTCGGAAACCTTTTTTTCAAAACTAATAAGTTAAGTTGGCTCAGATTTTCATGATATGTTGATTTCCAGTATTAAGGTTTTTGTCAAGATAATTTTGTCAGATTAACATGAGGAAAAACTACATAGGAGAAGTATCGTGGGGCACATCTTAAGAATGTGTATCTTAAGATATTGCTAATTTACGTTGATTTCCAGGATTAAGGTCTTTGATAACCATGTCAAGATAATTTTGTCAGATTAACATGAGAAAAAAACTACATAGGAGAAGTATCGTGGGGCATACCTTAAGAATGTGTATCTTAAAATATTGCTAATTTACTTAAAGTGGCACTGGATCAATTTCAGTTTTTGTATAATTAAATCAATCAATCATTTTTGTATAATTAAATTAAATCAATCAAATCTGCAACAAGTTTCACAAATTTGTATAATTAAATACAATTTTATTAACGTGTCTATACTATGCTGATTTTTTTAAACTTTATATATCATCAATAGTTTAGAATAAAATTAATGATTTTATAAATTATTTTGCATATTTATTATCCTTGTCTATAACATCACTAATTATACATTAATGGATATAACTGACGTAAGGAATGTGTGCAACACTTTGTTGGCTTCTCGGCATCCGGATGCAAATTTATATGAATTAGTAATTGCAATTTGCCATTAGCTCAAGCCACTCATAATCCAATAGATGCATTCAAATGGGAAAATTTTTACCTATGTAACTATGAGCATCAATGGGGCATCATGTCTAAAATGATTTAAAAACATTTTCAGATTTATGAAAAATATCATATGCAATTATAATTGAACAAACAAAACTTCTGAAAAATATTCAGAAGAAAAATTAAACTTGAAAATTGCCAAGTGCTATTCTTCTGTGTGAATTGCTTATGCTTAGTAGTATAGATTAACAACATTTTTGAAATAATAAAAAAAATCTTCTAAATTGAAAATATATTAACCAATGCCCATGGAGATGATCTATTCTGGTCGACAGTTGTTATCCTCATTTTTAGAATGTATTTTTTTAAATTTTTATTGGCCTCGCTTTCAAGCATTTAGCCACCTACAACATTACTTAATTATTATCTACTACTACAATTCTACTACATTCTTTAGTTTTTCATACTTTTTTCTTTTTACATTACTTTTCAACTTATCTTCTGCATATAAATCCTCTCCTTCATTTGGTTGTCCAACAATTTTGATGTCAAAAAGGCAATACGTTTGAAAGCTTTATTTAGATTGATAAGGACATGATAGAACAGCTGGTGCAGATAGAAAATTAAAACATTTGAATAATTGAAGTTCTAATTCTATCAAATTCAATATGATTTATTTATAATTTCCGTGTTTTCACCGAGTTTTTATATCGCCGTGTTGATATTAGGTGTCCAATTTTGTAGCCAGCTATCATGTCGAATAAAAATCAGTAAGTAGGTAGTAAGTTGTTTTTAATTTAATCAAATGAAAGACGTTATAAATCAAAATCGGTTTAAAGCTACTATCAATTTTC